GACAAGATAAAGTAGTTACGTTTATCGCCAAAGTTTTCTGCACCCTAAAAACACATTAAAGGTTCCAGGCTAAAATTCAAAGGTTCATATTTGCATGGAGTCTCCCTTTTTTTACAAGAATATATTCCTTTTCATAATTTCCCTGAAGGGTAAAATAGCCTCCCCAAATAATGTCAGGAAATGGTGAGCCTTTGCAGTTACAAGCTATTCCCATTGAAATGCCTGCTGGAATTCTACTTCTACCCACGGTTGGTGGCTCCAATGTCAAGAGCAGGAAGACCAAACAAAGACCATCGTCCACTTGGCATTGCCCCAGTTCAGCCTATGGTTGACCCAAGTACTGGTGTGGTATTATATCCAGAGGTCCAGTGTCCAAATCCCTCCCAATAAGTCACCTTTACTCTCAAAGGAATCCTGAAGAACAAAGAAAATCAGTTTTTTGCTTTATTAATAACCACCTGCTATAATCCATACGCAGGCATCTGGTGAAAGACAGGGCGAGAACACAAAGCTTGGCTTATACCTAGAAACAGGACTGGGGATCCTACTCACCTCTCACCCCTCATTCTCCCAAATCTAAATCGTAGGACCAGCATTTTCATGCCGCCTCATACAGCACACACTCATCCTGGGAGAGAAGTGGGGAGAGGGGGACCTGAGGTTCTGATGTAACCACCCAGTTGCAGGTTCAGGAAAGATGGAAAAAAAGAGGGGGAGGTTAGGAGTGTGCATGAGAGAGCGCTCTGATCTGAGGCAGGAGGCACAATGCCACACATGAGTCCTCAGTTTAAGACATGGTGGCCCTACCCACTAGCACAATATGGCTCAGTGTCTTGGATTCAAAAAATGTTCTGTCAGTCACACTGCCAAATACTCCTCCCTTAGGAGAGAGGCAGAAGGGTAAAAGATGAAGAATAGCCTTGTAATTCTGAAGCAAAGAAGCTCACTGTGCAAATCAGCTTACGGTTCCGCCTGTGAGATGACAGCTGAAACTTCTCGCTCATTGAGGTAAAGCTGTTCTCCCGGAAGTTAAATTTGTGCTTCCTCCCGAAAGGCCAAGTTTCCTTCCAGCCCAGTTTCCTCCCGGCCCGGCTAAACACAGAGTTTTTCCAGTAATGCCAGGTTTTCGGGATTTTAGTAGGTCTGTCTGCTCCTCAGCAAACACTTTGACTAGAAGACCTCATAAATAGGCCAAATATATGGTGATAAAAGATAATTTGACTTTGGGTGGTGGGCATTCAACGCAATATACAGATCATGTACCATAGAAACGTACGCTTAAAACCTATATGCTCTTATTAAGCAATGTCACCTCAATAAATTTAATTAAAAAATTAAAATGTCAATGTGAAAAAAAAGGCATAAAGAAGTTAAGCTGTCAGCCTGATCTTTTTCAGTCCAGCATTTACTTTGTCTAAATCAGAGGTGAGCCTCTGCACACCAGTTTCACACTGTCCATTGCATTGTTGTGGTGTCTGTTGGCATGGTAACACAGTCCAGAGCTCTTGCAAGACCTGACTACAGATCGCTGGGAAAGCTTTTGTAAGGGACCAATAGCCTTTCTCTGACCGGGGAACTTCTGGGCAGAATGCAGGGGAACACATTCACTCCCCAGTGGCCACCACCTTAAAAATCAGGGAGAGTGAGTCTTAAACATTGCCTTTGTCTTAAGACTCTCTCTTTTTTTAAGTAGTGAATCTACAATACAAATAAGTATTTTATTTTTTCTAATTTATTCATCAGTTTTTTATAGAGAGGGGAGGAAAGGAGAAAGAGAGGGAGAGAAAGAAACATTGATATGGAAGAGAAACATCAACTGGCTGCCTCTTGCACACCAACAGGGAATCTGGCCCACAATCCAGGCGTGTGCCCCGACTGGGAATCAAACCAGTGACCTTTCGGGGCATAGGCCGACACTCAATTCACTGAGCCACACCAGCCAGGGCAAGATCCTCTCTTTGATTCTCACTCTTACCTTTTAGTTTCCATTGCTTCTCATCTCTAGGTCACTCTCCTACCTCTTAATGTTAGAACCCTCCTGAGGATCGTGCCAGATTCTCCCCACACACCAGTGGTTCGCAAACTATGGTCTCTGGACCAGTAGCTTCAGCATCACTTGGCAACTGGTTAGAAATAAAATTCAAAGACATAAACAAAAGAAAAGAAGAGAAGATAGGAGAAGAAAGGAGAAGAGAAAAAGGAAAAGAACAAGAAAAAATAAATGTAATGCACCCCCTCATACCCTACACCAAAGCTACTGAATCAGAAACTCAGGGAGTGGGGTCTTGACTCCAAATTTAACATGCCCTGCAGACAATTCTGATGTATGCTCAAGTTCGAGAACCCCTCTGCCATGTATCATTGCATTCAATGACTACTGAGAGGTCAAACAGTCCTAAAAGATAAGTATTATCCTTGGTTTGCCAGTGGGAAAGCTGAGATTACAAAATGAAAAAGTAACTAAACAATATCACCTGCTAGGAAGTGGGGCCTGGCCCCTAGCCCCTCTCCCACCCCAGCTTCACCCCAATCCTGTGGCCTTCTGGCTCTCCCTGAAAAACAAGAAAGTCACAACCTGGCTCAGGGACTTAGGGCAAAGTGGTCCCTCTATTGCAGTAGTTTAAAATCCAGCATTCTTATTTGAGTCTCCTTAGAAGCTTGAACATTAAAAAACAAAAACAACCATAACAGCAAAACAAATTTTTTAAAGCATTTCTAACTAGAGATTAGAAGGAACTCTCTTCTTCCAGGAGGAAGGTCAAAGATGGCAGTCAACCTGGAAAACAAATGAGGCTTCAGCTGAGTGGGTCAGGCAGCAAATAATGCCGGAGAATGCTAGAGGCCAGTAAGGACTCTAGGAAAGAGCTTCTACCCTGACTGAGTAGGGCCTCCACATTTTAATACAAGTGGCCCCCCATTCGGGTGCTGAGGCTCGAGGGCGCACCTGTAGGAATCTGATGCCCTCCAAACTTAGGAAGGCTCTCTACTTTACATCAGTGTACCATGACTGTCTTTATCCCTAGAACAAGTTGAAATAAGACATAGAGTATGGATAGTAGATAGGAATGGTTCTGAATACCACTCAAGTCCTCCCCACAGCAGGGAAGTGGTCCCTGCTACGTAACACTACAGAGTGGAAACACAGCACAAAGCCAGTCACTCTGTCTCAGCTCACAGGCAGTGGATACTGTGTGATAAAACGCACAAAAGCAAAAAAAAAAGCACAAGCCCATGGGTTGGGGAAGAGCGACAGTTATGGGTTGGCTGGAGGACAGAAGCTGTATGGACACATCCTGGGAGATAAAGCTGGAAATGTGAGTTAAGACGCTGAAATAGAGAACAAGTGGGCAGCGACCAGAGGGGAGAGGGAAGGGAACTTAAGGGGAAAAAGGGGGAGGGATTTTGAGGAACAAGTATGAAAGACACAGAGATGAGGACTGCGGGGGGGGGGGGGGGAGGGGAGGGAGGGGGAGACCAGGCGGGGGGGGGGGGAGAGAAAAAAAATGTACTTGAAAAGTAACTAAATAAAATTTAAAAAAAAAAAAAAAAGACGAAACCAGAATAGCCTGCCTGCAGCATTTCCCTTCTTCCGGAGAGTCAATACAAGAGCCTATTTATGGCACAGGCCTAGAGCAAGACAGCTGAATTCTGATCCCAGTTCAAATCTTGAAGAATCAGCTTAAAACTTTCCACAGATTCATTTCCCTACGGGTAAAGAAAAAGACAATCATAGCACCTCACATTCGAGTTGATGTGAGGATTGAGTAAGTCGGTATCTGCAAAGACTGAAGCAGGGCTTGGGACATAAGAAAGCATGACAGGTATTAGCTATTACAATAGTTACTATGAATTCTGCAGTCAGAAACGCCACAGAAAGGTAATGATAAGACCATAGCCTCTCAGGTGCTTGATCGGGCTGTAATGTGTAGGATGGAAGGCTGGGAAACTAGGTGAGAGGTAACTGCAATTCTAGGTGACAGTGCCATCCAAAGTGGAAACGTACAGGAAAGTAAGGGGAAGGAAAACGGGCCATATGTCAGATACGCCTGAGCAATTGAGCTGACAGAACTTGGCAAATGCCTGGATGTGGGTGGTAAGGAAAGTGGAATAATCAGAGAGAAGAAGATAAATCGATTTTGTCTGAAAACATGTCCTCTTCTGCACCAAGTTAACTGTTGAAATTACACTAGGAAATTAATTGTCTGCTCTAGACTGTGAACTTCTTGTTCACCTCGCTATACACCCAGTTATAGCAAGACATCCAAAGCTCCTCCCTGTTCTAACACTATAATACTCTGGTCCTCTGCCAAGAAACCTCGATTTCACTTACCTTGCCTAAGGGTGACTTTTCCCCTACTTGCTCTGAACTGCCGTGACGACAGAGCTCAGATGCAATATGATCCTTCCACCTGGATGCCTACCTGGTGCCAAACCCCTGCAGGAACGCCTGCAGATTTACTTACTTAATAACAAACTCTATTCCTCTTAGGCTTTCAGTTCATCTTTTCCTCTGAAGCTTTAAAGTTACTAAGTGCAACTTACAAGAAAAGGGCAACAGCCAAAAGAAGAAAGTCACTAAAGTGGCCAGAGATGATAGCAGGTCCCTGGTCAGCAACACTCCCCTCCACACACATTAGCCACCCTGTACATTCAGTCCCTGAAAAGTCTCTTTTCCACCTATATTCAAATCCGAGGATACTTCATACACACACCACTGGCAACCACTCCGGTGGTGCAGGGGGTTAAGAATCAGCAGACCCACGTTTTAACTTTACAGTTAACTTCTAACAGACCACACCCCTAAGGGACCTCAGACATAAGGCTGAATTATAATGACCTCCCAGCTCCAGTTCCCAGCACTGGACAAAGTCAGCTGCAGGCACCGCCCCTGCCTGCGCTCGCTCCTCCCAGCGCTAGAAGACGCGCCTGGGTCCCGAGGCTGCAGCCCCTGGGTCACCGTAAGGAGTTTGGTCCGGAACGGTCCAGCAGGCCGCCGCTACCTGGTCCAGCAGCCGGTAGATGCTGATCCCCGAGGTCTCCACCAACAGCTGCCAGTCGGCGCCGGCCAGCGCGGGCTGATGGAGCTCAGCACAGGCCTCCCGGAACTGCTCCTGGGAGAAACCGCCAACAGTAGCAGGGTCCATCCTTCCGCCGCCACTGTTCCTCCCCAAGCAAGGAGGCCGTAGAAAGGTTTGTGGTAGGTTTAGGGGCGGGGCGAAAGGGTGGCCTAGTGTGATTGGCAGGGAGCAGAGAAGTGATAGAGGGGAAGGCGGGACTTAGTGGGGAGGAGGGGTCTAAGTAGAGGTGGGGCTAGGAAGGGGTGGGCCTAGATAAGTGGGCGGGGCTGAGCAAGAGATGAAGGAGTCTGGGAAAAAGGTAAAACAAAAATTGGATTTGAGCTAGAGAAAGATGGAGGGTTTAGGGAATCAGGGAGACTTATTTATAGAAGGAAGGCAGAAGGAAGACACTAATGTCATCTTGGGAACATCCCCTCAGTAGACCGTCCCGTTCCCTGCCCCACCCCATAGCCTCCAAAACTGCTTGGGTGGCTCCTTTACCTTCTCTGAAGAAGATAGGGAAAGTCTATGAGCTGTTTGGTAGGCTTGGAAGGTGATATGGACAGCGTAGAAACGTTTAACAATCTCAGGGGTCAAATGCTAGAACTATATATTTCCATATAATTTCTATTTTTTCTGTTATGCATTTTTAAAACATTATTTTGAGAAAAGGTCCATGGATTCACCAGAAGGCCAAAGGGTTTCAGTGCACATAAGGGACTGAGAAACCTAATCTCTATTGCATCTACAAGGTGATTTGCCAGCCTGCGGGGTGAAAGATGATCTAAAAGTTACTATTGTGTCCACCAAGGATTTCTGCAGTTTGCATAATTTAGACCTTTTGCAACTCAAAGACCTTTTTGTTTACTCAGGTCCCTTGGGTATTACTCTATTTCTTACCACCAGACTGTACTTGGCTGTGAATAAAGTAGGTAGTTGAAACATCAAAACAGTATAACACCACATGAGTGCCAACGAACTCTGGAAACCTGTGTTTCCTAATCTGAAAACTGGGGTAAGAATTGTGCAACCACTTAGAATAGAGGAGATAACCACATAAAATAAACATAAAACATGTACGCACAATGCCTATCAAAGTAAATGTTCAGTAAACATCCCTACTTGTTTTACACTGCTGTATTGGAATACTTCTGTTTCTGCAGTTGAATGAAAGCCTGAAAGTTGATGGCAAACTATGTGACATCAATTTCCAAAAAGAGAGATAAAGTCAGATTTGGCAGCATACATAAGTTAGTTCTTTATTCAGTACAATGGTGGTTCTGTTTTGTTTTGTGTGGATGAGAGGAGGGATGTGGTTTTCTCATAGACTAAATGCCCAAGAGGCTAGAGACATCCTTTCCTACTGTTTTTATAATGCCTTTAAATTCTCTCTTCTTTATAAAAACGATATTTCATTTAAACTAAAAATCAATTGCTTTCAAAAAGCGATTTTATCAAAATCGTTGGTATAAAGGAATACCCATTCGAAAGGTGTGCTTTGCTGAAACAGCCTTTATCACTGTTTAGCAATAGATTAATGGAGAGGGGCATGAGAGTCTAAATGGCAGTATGCAAGATACAAGATATAAGGCAGGAAATTTCGATTGCATTGAAAGTGTGTTCACCTACTAAACTCAGAAGGCAAATACCTGTATATTTAGGGCCATTGAAATGTACACTCGTGTTTATTTTATTACAGTAATGAAGGAAAGAATCATATTAGGAAATAGTTTTATTTTGTGCAAAGGTCTAGAAAGATTTGGAAAGGGATCTAAAGAAGCCTGTTCTCCTTTTGAACTTGCCTATGATAATAGGCCAGCCTGTTTGCTTTGTGAAGAATGCTCTCTAGAGGAATTCACGGTACCGTAACGGCTGAAGCTAAAGCCCTTGGCCTTCAACGTAGAAATGCTAGATTAATGAAACCAGAAATCGTTTTTAATATATAGTTTACCTGAACATAAAGAAAACGTAGTCTTATAATCACTCCAGATTTCTGCAATTTACATTCAAATACACAGTTTAGTTAAAATAAAAGTGTAATTGATAGAAAGAGGATCAAAAAGGACAAAATAAAAACAACTAGTGAATTTAGGTGAAGGGTAGGTATGTTTCTGTTGCTTAATTCCTTCAACTTTTCTGCATATTTGAAATCATTCAAAATGAAATCTTCAAGAAAAGCCAGTTATAGGTGCTTATAGGAGACAAAACAAAAATATATTACTCAGAAAATATAGAGGTCAGTATATGAAAAATATACACCAGTAAACCATGAACAAAAGAAAATTGGTATGGCTCTAAAAATATTAGACAAAATAGACTTTCAGGCAAGAAAAACATTAATGAAAAGACGTTCATAAGTTAATGATAAAGGATACAACCTTTCAAGAAGTCTGAATCCTTAAATTTATACTTACCTCACAACATAATCTCAAGTATGTAAGGCAAAAATTATCATCAGTAAAAAGAGAAATCATTAAATTCACAATTACAGTAGAACATTTTAAGGTTCTTTTATAGGATATGAATTAACCAAGCTGAAAAAAAATGGTAAAGAGATACAAGATGAACATAATTTATATGAATTCATATGAGTTCATATAATTGATATACTTCACCTAAAGGGCATATAGAGAACTATATATTCAATAAATAAAACACAGATATTATTTGCAAACTATCGTAACGCATTCATTAGCATTGATTATCCTGTAAGTCACAATGAATGCTTTCAACAAACACAAAAGAATCTGTATTATTCTCTGATAACAAGTCAAAAACACAAAAGAAAGAAGAAAAGACACAAAAATAGCCAACCCTGCACCAATATTTAAAAACTGAAAAACATAACAAAGCAAATACATAACATACTTCTTCCAGGAACCTAACCAGCATTTAATTCCCTGCATCAAATTCCTTTTGCTTAAAATACCTAGAGAGTTCTTGTTCTCTGCACTTAGTCCTGACTGATGCCGTATTCATGGATTATGATAATATTTTAAAGATGACCATTCCTATCAATTCAAACAATAAATCCAATGAAATTTAAATAAAAGTCCTTAAGCCTATGCAAGGAACTTCACACACCACTTTTAAAACTTATAGGGATGATGTAGTGATCAAACAATTTGAAAAAGTAGGCAATCAATTTTTAAAAGTAGAGAAAAAAAGGAAAGGAAACCTGCCCTATTAGATATGAGGGTTTATAATAAAGAAAATAGTGTGGTATTGAGCTAGGTCTAAGAAAAAATAATAATAAAGCAATGAAACAGCTTTCCATCTAGAAACAAATCCACATGAATGTTGAAATAGGATGTAAGAAAAATGGACAATTTAAAAAATGGTATTGGACAACTGACTATCCTTATGCAAAAATGAGGGTCCTAGATCACATTGTAGTACACAAATGTAAATTCCGGATGTATAAGAGAACTAATTGTATAAAGGGAAATGTTCATAACTGCTGTGTACATTAGAAAGCAAAAACTTTTATTTAACTACTCAGTGTCAGTAAATTAAAACCCAACACACAATTGGCCATGGTGGGTAGTTCAGTTGGTTAGAGTGGCATCCCAATACAACAAGGTCATGGGTTTGATCCCAGGTCAGAGTACACACAGGGATCAAACAATGAAGGCATTAATAAGGGGAACAGGAAATCAATGCTTCTTTCTCTCTCACTCTTCCCCTCTCTCTCTAAAATCACTAAATAAAAAAACTTTTAAATCCCAACCTACAGATTAGTAGAAAACATAACCAACAAAGGACTGATACTGACAAATACACAGAACTCCTAGCAATTGAATATATGAGCAGTGAAAAAAACCAAATGCCACATGAATATATGGAAAGTTGTTCAACCTCCATAATAACTGGGGAAATGTGAAATAAATTATATCATTTTATTTATGTAAAATTGGCCAAAGCTTAAAAATGGGTGATGGTGAACAGATAGAGCATAACCTCTGACATAAATGTTCTGGTTAAAGTGTAAGCAACAGTTTGAAAAATGACTGGAAATGACCTATTAAGTTTGAGGATACACATCCTATCTGCCCTAGTAATTCTGCTTCTGTGAGTATACCCAAAAAACTGCCAATATTCCATAAAGTTGCACATGGTTTTAGTGGCAAAATGTTGGAAACAGCATAAATACTCACCAACCACAGAATAAATGAATGAATTGTGGGATATTCATTTCACAGCTTTTGAAATTAAAAAAGAATCTACATGTATATCATGGATAAATCTTGAAAACATTGTTAGAGAAAGCAACTTGCAGAACTATGCATAAAAATACAGTACTTAGGGACTATACATATGCCCTGACAACTTAAAAATATGAATGGGAAGGATTCATGTTAATTTCAGCAGTAGCTGTAATATTTTATTTCTTTAAAACATATGGAGCAAATAAGACACCATATTAATGTGTATGCTGGGTGGTGGCTTCATGTATATTTGTAATTTAAACAAAATTATTCTAATAAAGGTATAGTATTATAATTGCCATTAACTATAGCAGAAGTAAAAGGAAAACACCACTCTGGAATACTATGAAAAATGAAAGATGAATGAATGAATGAATGAATGCTCACATATGCCTCACTTTGCACAAAGAACACACATAGATAACCTGTTGCAACTGAGTGATTGATCAGTGTTGTTGTTGTTTTAATTAGGGTATCAGCATATCTGTTCTCATTTATCAGTAAGAGCTACTAGACACCGAGAAAGTGAGAAGTAATTGAAATATATGGTATCATAGATAAAACAACTGGGTAAAGATCAGAATGTCTTGCTTTCCCTAGGGATGTTCTTCACAGTACAGAACTAATTTGGTTTGTGAATTCCCAAAGTTACATGATTACAAAAACCAGCGTTGTAATCTGAGTTCTAGTTACTTTAAGAACCAGGCAAATCACTTTGTAAATTTTTTTTCAATGACATTCAAATCTTATTACTTTATTTCTTAAATACTGTTTACTCAACAGTGGTGTAAAAATAATAGTCTTTACCTCAAGGACTTGCTGAGAGGAATATGAAGATAGTACAAACAAAAATACTGTGTAAAGTGAAAGTGAACACATAAAATGTATGTCTGTATAGGTACCTCCAAGCTCTGCAGTGGAGTTGATTTTAATCTGTTTCTGTCAC